AGTATATAATATAATATATAGAAAAATATACAGAAAGATATATAGTATATAATATATAGTATATATTAGAGTAGACAGTATAGTATCTATATTAAAGATATATAAAGATATTTATTTATATATTTAGTTTAGTTCTTTATAATCAATCTACTCAGTTACTTAATAGCTATATTTAAAATTTATATTAACTTAATTTATTTATACTATCTAACAATTGAGTATATATACTCAATTAATCTAGCTTTTCTATCTCAGACTATTAATTATAATATTGTTATTACTATCCGAACTACTTTGGGTCACTTGTTATTATTGGTTACTAGTAGATTCTAGTCAACCGAGTAAGTTATCTCTAACCAAGATCGCTAACTGGTTGCAGAGTCCTTGGACAGATACCCAGATGTAACATATAGCTAGTATATTATCTGTTGGTGCTGTACTAGTCCGGGGTCCGTAACATATATATTCTTCGGTATTACTGTATTAATATCGAGAAGTCTTATTATTATAGTTTGTCTAATATTAAGTTTCTTAATATTATTATAGTTATAATATTTCTTGTTTTCTAATATTTATATACCGGAATATTGCTGCTTGGATAATATTCTATTGATAGTAATATTTACTGCTCTTAATATTACTGTAGCCAGTATATTATCTGTTAGTACTGTACTAGTCCGGGGTCTGTAATATATAATTTATCTAGTTACTAGAATCCACTAACAACTAGCGAATGATCTAAGATAATCTAAATAGTAGCGATAAAAGTACAATATACTATATAGTCTAAGAATAGAAGACCAGGCTAACTAAATATATATATCTAGTTATTTAAAGAGTATAAACAAATTGAGACTAGCAGTTATATTAGTAACAATAACTCTATAGTAATAATTAAAATTAATTACAAAGAACTAAACTAAGTATATAAATAAATATCCTTATATACCCTTGGTAAAAATACTATACTGTATATCCTGATATATACTGTATACTATATACTATATATCTTCTCTATATATTCTTCTATATACTATATCACGTGATATTTGTGGGTATTTTCTTTTATCCAGGTTAGATATACTATACAAAGAGTATATCTATAGTTACCAGATTGATATATATCCTCCGGTATTACTATATTAACACCGAGAGATCTTATTATTATAGCTTGTCTAATATTGAATCTATCAATATTATTGTAGTCATAATATTTCTTGTCCTATAATATTTACGTGCCGGAATATTATTGCCTGGATAATATTCTACCGCTGATAATATTTACCGCTCTTAATATTACCGTAGCCAGTATATTATCTGTTGGTGCCGCACTAGTCCGGGGTCCGTAACAGTCAGCTCTCAGCCAATCAGCTACCTGTTTCTCAATTGACCCTATTGTAACCAGACCTGTTTACACCACCGCTCCTGCATTAGCTTGACTTGTCGGACTGTTCTGCTCAATGGATATCTCGACCCCGTTGCCATGTATGCTGCAACGCCTCCTGGGTAAAATTTGGCATAGTCAAATGTTCAACAATACAGTGTAATATAACTTATACACCAGTTATCGTGCTCCGGTTTTGTCATTCTGGCCGACACAAAGTTATATTCCTGTTCGAAAAGCGATACCACGGAATTATGCGAAGCTGTTATTAGCTGAAAACGTGTGGATGCTAAGTAATCTATATAGAGGCCCTGACGTTGATAATATATATTATACAATCAGATAAACCTGCATTTACAATATACTTGAATAACAGAAGGTGTCAAATAGACAGTTTACCAACCCATGGCCATTGGAGAGCGATGAAGATACCAGGGTAATGATCCCTGTGGAGACTGGCTCGCTTACAGATCGTGAGTGGAACTATCAGAGCCCCTTCAATAAATCTAAACATAATCGGTGAACGAGTGGGTTAATATGCCTCTGTTCTTTTCTTTTCTTTCTTTCTTTCTTTTTTTTCTTTCTTTTTCTTTAAAGAAAGCCCTCTCCAAGGGCCATAGACCAAAGCCAGATAATAGTATACTTTTAATCGAATATTAGCTACAGTATATCCTTCATCTGCCATTCCTTCCCAGGCAAGAACCAGGAACCATTAAGAATTAGTCCCTTCCATAAAATTTTGAACCCTCCTCCCCAAAACAGCGCTCCGAAACATCATTCCCAACCTCGACAAGCATTTCTAGCAGCTGGTCCACCTGCGTAAGTCCCAAAGATCCCCGTATCTTCTCGGTCTGCATACAGAAATTAGTCAGATGAGCTTTATGTACCCACCTTGGTGTTACTTACACAACTATAAAATTGCTTCAACGGTTCTGCGGGGAGCTGGCCAAACGGCAAAGATGTAGGATCGGAGTTGATTGCTTCGGTCATACATGGTATAAATTTTTGCAGCTCGCCGCATGTAGTATCAGACAAACACTTCTTGCTGACTTCTTCCATCATAAGAGTTTTAATACACTTGCGGAGACTGCCATCGCGTTCCTCAAGGTTGTGAATTGGGTTAGCGAAGGCAAGGCCTACAGCGCCAAGTGAAACTAGCGTCTGGATCTTCATATTCGCTATAGGGAGGTAAAACACTGCTTTTCAATAGAGAGAGGTATACTGAAGAATAATATCAGGAGTGTTGCCGAAAGGGTGGTAAGAGAAAAGAGAGATGGTATGGCTAAAAAGAAAAGAAAAGAAAGAAATAGCAGATCCTTTATAACCTTGACGGGAGTGCTTCAGGGATAAGTAAAAAGTTTCCAATCACTCCAAGATTCAGATCGGCAGTTTATTGATGCTCTTCGGATAATCTGGGGCACAAAGTTCAATAGATCCATCTAAGTATACTCCGTCGGTACTCGGAGCCCCTCGCTGGATTTACTCGCCCGCCCATTGGCCCGCCCTGCGACCTGCGTCCCCACCCGTCCGTGCGTGCCTTCTTTTCTTGATCGGTTTAGTAATCTTGGATCTGCAAGTGATCGATTGATCTGTTTCTTTTCCTTTCCTATTTCTGTATTTGGGTCCCGTCGTAGACCCCTATACACGTCGAACCTAGAAGTAGGCACGAATTTGAAAATCCTGAATCCATTGGCTGGCTCACTTGCCGTTCGCGTCTTGGTTGAACGTTCCTTCCGGAGTTGATCGTGACTGTCGTCTTTGCGTACCGCCGGACGTGGAATGCTCTATCCTGCATTCTAAAGGAAGCCGAGAACAGACTGCAAGGCGTCCGCAGCGAAGGAATCGCATGACCTGAATATCATTTGATTCTGTTTAGATCCTTTTTACACTAGACTAGATTGCCGAAATGATGTCCGGCTTGGATTCTCGACCAATCTAATAACAACTCAGACACTGAGAAAAAAGCCTATCGTATGTATATACCTATATAGGATGCTTCTATGCTTCGCTTACGCTCCGCTGCACAATCAAGGTCGTAAACGAAAGTTGGCCCATCCCGTGTGAACGGGGTGCAATCAAACCTGTGGGCCGTGTACGCAGATCGCTACCCTAAATAAATAACTATGAAGTCGCAGCAGCTGAAAGGTTTAACTTTTGACTCGGCAGCTGAGTTAACCTGACCTTTCCTATTCGGGGGGTTATAATAGTCAGGTCAGTGGATCCATCAAGGAAGTTCTATGGTTCTAGATTCTGTGCTGATCTCTGCTCCAATCAAAATTTGCTTAGCAATGAGATTTTTTAAAACACCTGTAAAAGCTAGAAATATTTACCATTTGAATAATTCTAATAAACGCTAGTAAATAGATATACTGTCTGAATTAGGAAAGGTCAGGTTGCCTTGAGTCCCGGTTCGGTCGAACTTTCAACTTAAACTGAGTTCTCTAACTACTTGTGCTGATCCTAAAAGAAATCTACGATCCCGCCCCACAGCAGCTGAACTGCGACTCTTTTATTATAGATTCTATTAGCTAATTTTCACATCTAATGAGCCAATCATTGTGCTTATCTTTGGCATTGTACCTTGCCCTTCGGCATGTCTTGAAATCCCAGAGCTGAATTAAAGCACGGAAAAGGGGCGGTCAGAAATCCATCAGCTGAGAGGATGGGAGGACCAACTCTGTGGAAAGAAATCAGATTAGGCCATGATTCTTCAGTAAACTATGCTATACTATATTCCCCATCTCAATTAAGGTGACAGAAAAGCAGACATGTGTATGTCTAAAGGAAAGCTTTCGAGTTATATGATAGATGAATCCAGCGGGATGGGTATATTGAAGCTCGGTAGCGCATGATGGAGCCAGACATTCGGCTCGATGTAGACACAGCGCTGTTCATCCACATAATACCGCAAGGGTACCAGGCCTCTTGGAAACGCAACTTCGACATATACCTTGCCCGATTCTGCTTCCAGTTTGAGAGACCCACCCTGTTGTCGTGCAGCCTGCGGGATATTGACCCCCGTCCACTGCTGCCACTCCTCCACACTGCCCTCTACACGCATACTTCTCCGCGCCACCTTGATCACCTTGGCCCCCAACCGAATATGTTTCCGCAGCCAAGGATCAAATGGGAGGCTGGGGTCTGGTTTTCGAACTGTTATGCCAGAAGTGTGGTTTCCTGATGTTGTCGCCCGCCATAAGACATAATCTGTCATATTGGTTATTGGGAACTCTGATTTCCGTGTTGGCCGTAGCGGTACTACCATAGCGTCAAAGTTGCGCTCGATGGCAGCTTCTTTCATAGCCAGGATAAGAGCTTCTGCTAAGCCCCGAGAGCGGTATTCCGGAGAAACGGTGATGGAAATAGCGGACAGTGCATTGGGCTGTTCTATTCTAGCTGCGGCGGGATCGTTGAATGGGGTTGGCCTGTCTAGGGCTTGGACAAGGCCTTCTCGGGCGAAGTGTTGTTCGAACACTCGGGAGAGGATGGCATCGTAACCTTCATCTGGGAGGGTATGCAGCACTTTTGGGTGTTGGGCGAGGCCCATTTTGCCCCCGATTTTGGCTAGTTCCGGCCAGTAGAAGGGAACAGAACGTCCGCAGGCGATAATATGCTCTTCTCCGTAGTCATCAACTTTGACAATGATATACTGAAAGCAAGCAAATGCTTTGACCTCGTTGAGCTGGCTGCAGTAGTGTTGGAAGTATATGTCCTGGTCGAGGAAGAGCGGCCAGGCAGCATTCAGTGGATGATTTGGATCTTCGAGGAACTTCCAGAGATCCGGCCTACTCTGGGCAGTGTGAACGAAAAGGTTGTCCATCCGTCTGTTGTGTGATGGAATGTAGATCAAAAATGGCTATTAGCAGGAGGTAAAATATGAAGACTGCCTACGACGGCAAAGCTACATTTTAGAATCGACTTTGAATATCCGAGGAAGAGTAAAGAATCAAGACGGCCGTCACCTTTTGAAATGAACTAGTCTCTATTACGCGATTTTACGAACTCGCGGACATGGGATCGAGCAGCTGAATGCAGATCGCTTTTTCTTTTTTTTTTTCCCCTAATCAGTGGTGATATCTCTCTGTCGGCCCACTTGGCGTATATGGTGAGAGTCACCTCAGCTGAAGGTTTCTACCTGCAGGGAGAGTACTAGTAGCTACTGGCAAGCATTAAATCTCTTTAAAATTTAACATCGCCTTATAATCCATTCTTCCTCACGAAAGTCTGAGAGTAATTCATTTCGGCGTACTCCTGGGTCTCAGAACCATGACGGTGGATTACGAAACCCCAGATCCAACGCCAGATCACCTCAATCAGAAAACACAAAATGGTATCCTGGCTCCTCAACAACCCGCCGTTCCTCCGTTCTCTCTACTACCAAAGAGTACTGGGTCAAAAGATATTATCCTAATAGTTAGCCGATTATGCGGAACTACCGAAGATGATGTTGAGGATGTTTATCCTTGCACAATCGTGCAAGAAGCTCTGGTAGCGCTCTCTGTCAAGAACCCACGCACGTACGTCGCTCGATATGTGTATCGCCTGAAAGATGGCATCACTTTCAATAGGTTCCACGCGGCATGGGATGCCACCGTAAGAGCGCATCCGATTCTCCGTACGAGAGTCTTGCAGCTTGGCTCTCAGGGGGCGATGCAGGTGGTTCTCCGTCAGGGAATTGAGTGTCAAAGAAGTAGCGATCTCCAGCAGTATCTCGTCGATGACTGCGCAAAAGAGACACCATTAGGAGCACCGTTGGTACGGGCTGGCTTCATCCAGCGCGAGGAGCCTACAAGCCCAGCCTATTTTGTCATCACTTTGCACCACGCCTTGTATGACGACTGGTCGCTGGCTCTGATCCTCAAGCATATTGAAGCTGCATATGCGGAGCAACGAGCACCAGATCAGTTCTTCTCCCGGTTTAGCTCCTACTGCATGGATGCTTCCAACGAGACAGCCGCCCAGTTCTGGCGCAATGAGCTCTCGCGTATGAATCCGACTTCATTCCCGGCTCTGCCAGCCGAGTCGTATACACCGGCAGCGACTAAGTCTCTCATCCAGACGACCGAGTTTGACGAATTCATGACCTTTGACGGTCTATCGACGACTGTCACCATGGCCTGGGCAATTCTCATCTGCCGCCATACGGCGTCCGAAGAGGTGGTATTCGGGGTGACGGACACTGGGCGACGCGCTACAATGCCCGGTGTGGAATTGATGAGCGGCCCGACGATCGCCACGTTCCCCTTCCAGGTCCTCGTGGTCGATAGCCAACCGGTTTCCGACTGCTGGAACCAACTCCATGCCCGTCGAGCGGAAATGGTTCCGCATGAGCAATTCGGCCTCAGTCAGATGCGCATGCTATCCCCAGAAGCCGCTGCGGCCTGTAAGTTTCAGAGTCTGATTGTCTTGCAACCGAAACGACGGGATGATTACTCGCTCTTCGCCGAAGTCACGCACGACCAGAATCTAGAGAATCATGCCACGTTCGGGACATACCCGATCACTCTCGTTGTAGAGCCGGCAGGGAATTCAGTCAGTGTGCAGGCTGTATATGATCACAATATCGTGCACGATGCTCAGATGAAATGGCTGCTTCAGCAGCATTCCCATATCATGAAATGGGTCAATCGCAGGGATAATGCGCGCGTCGGGGATATTGAGGGCTTATGTCCGGAGGATCAAGCCCAGTTGCAGATGTGGAATAGTCAAAGAGCGCCTGAGAATATCCAACGATGTGTTCACGACTTAATTTCCGGGTTGTCGCGATCTCAACCAGATGCTACTGCTGTCTGTTCCTGGGATGGCGAGCTGTCCTACGGCGAGCTCGAAGTCCTGTCAAATGGCTTCGCTGCGCAACTGTTGGAAGAGGGTACTATAAAGCCGGACATGATTATTCCACTGTATTTTGAGAAGTGTAAATGGACCCCGGTGGCTATTCTAGGTGTCATCAAAGCTGGCGCTGCATTTGCCTTGTTGGATCCTGGCACGCCGCTGGCGCGATTACAGACGATCTGCGAGAGCACTAGAGCATCATTTGTCGTCTGCCTTCCAGAGTTGGTATCCCGAGCAAGGGAGCTGACAGGCAAGGTTAGTGTGCTCAACACTGATGACAATAGCCTTGCAACTCTGGCTCCCAGCTACACCGGGTCCGATGTCACACCATCAAATATACTCTACGTCGTGTATACCTCTGGATCAACAGGCCAGCCCAAAGGAGTTGTCATCGAGCATGGGGCATTCTGCTCGAGTGCGCTGGCTTACATTAAAACCGCCGAGATGAATAAGGAAACTAGAGCCCTGCAATTCGCATCATACTCATTTGATGTGAGCGTCACCGATCATCTAGCGACCCTGCTCGCTGGGGGCACAATTTGTATCCCCTCGGCCGAAGATCGGATGAATGACATTGTCAGTGTCATTAACAAATTCCATATTAACTATGCAGACTTTACCCCATCCTTCCTCCGTTCTCTCCGTCCTGAAGATATGCCGACTTTGCAGACAATTGTTGTCGGAGGGGAGGCATTATCGCGAGCAGTGATAGACATCTGGGGAAATCATGTCCGGTTACTCAATATCTATGGACCGGCTGAATGTTGTGTTCTTACTACCATCCAGCCTCACATCACCCTGGACTCAGACCCGTTGAATATCGGATTCGGCACTGGGGCTGTATGCTGGGTTGCCGATAGCAACGACCACAACCGTCTGGTACCTATCGGTGCCGTTGGCGAGCTGTTAGTCGGAGGGCCGATCGTAGGACGGGGATATCTGAACGATCCCCAGAAGACAGAGGCTGTTTTCATTGAGAACCCGGAATTCCTGCGCGAATTTTCACCCTCTTCACCGCAAAATCGCGTGTACAGAACAGGCGACTTGGTGCAATATGCACCAGATGGATCGATTCGATTTCTAGGCCGAAAGGATATGCAAGTGAAGTTGCGTGGCCAGAGAATCGAACTTGGAGAAATTGAATATTGCTTGAATCAATGCTTTGACATCCCCGGTTTGGTGGTGGACGTGGTGAAATTCAACAGTAACACAGCCGTTCTTGTTGCCTTCATCCTTCGGGAGTCTGTTGGGACGACAGATCCAAATGAGCTTTTCCATATCCCCGACGACGTGTTCCGGTGCAGTGTTGCTCAGGCAGAGGCACATCTACGTACTCAGTTGCCAGGGTATATGGTCCCAAGTTTGTTTGTGCAGCTGGCCCAAATGCCCACGACTGCGTCCGGGAAAATAGACCGAAAACGGTTGAAAGAGTACACGGCTTCTCTATCTCTGGATGATCTGAAGAAATATACGGCCGCAAAGCATGACAAGAAGCCTCCGTCAACCGAGCACGAGAAAGTCATCCATGGATTTGTGGCTCGTTTACTTGGTCTGAAACCCGAGGCAGTCGGCGTGGAAGACACTCTATTTACTTTAGGAGGAGATTCAATCACCGCGATGAGACTTGCTGGGTTGGCGATGGAGCAGGGTTGGGTGATGACCGTCGCGGATATCTTTGCGTCTCCAAAGCTTTGTGATATGGCATTGAAGATGCAAAGGTCCCAGCAGACGGACAAGCAATATCAGCCTCTTTCCCTTATCCAAAACCTGGGGCTGGGAAATAGTGATGGCATTAAGCAGGAGGCCATAGGACAGTGCCGTGTCTCCGGTGACGATATTGAGGACATCTATCCCTGCACCGCTTTGCAGGAAGGAATGATGTTTCTGTCCCTCGCGAAACCCGGTACTTATATATGCCACTTTCTCTATACAATTCCGCCTGAGATGACAGATGAGCAGCTGCAGCAGGCTTGGAGACAGACAACTGAAGCCAACACTATTCTGCGGACCCGTTTCTTCCAGGCTGGCTCTCGGCTATACCAGGCAGTCATCCGCGACGATCATGTGACATGGGACAAGCCGGACGACATGGAGGAGTATATCGCCGAAGATATTCAGCGCCAGGTCGATATGGGCGAACAGCTCGTCCGCGTTGCGGCTACCACGACTTCCGACCAAACTCGCGTGTGGGTTCTGACATTGCACCATTCTCTCTGCGATGGATGGACCGTCCGGCAGCTCTTGGAGCAGACCACAGCTGCATACAGAGGGCAGACCCTCCACGAGCGACCTTTTAGCTCGTTCATCGAGTATGTTCTCGACAGGCGTAACGACGAAACACAACAGTATTGGCAAACCGAATTCGCCAACCTCGACCCCCGTGCTGCCAGTTTCCCGCCCCTTCCCTCAGCACATTACGCTCCCCAGGCAGAAGAATCGCTCACATACCCTATCCTGAATCTCACCGACAAGGGCACCGAACATACGTTAACGCCGTTGATCCGTCTTGCCATGGCGATTGCGCTGTCACGATATAGTGGATCCACTGATGTTGTCGTTGGACTCACGACATCAGGGCGTAGCGCTTCCCTACCTGGGATCAACACAGTCACTGGTCCAACCTTAGGCACATATCCCATGCGAATTCAACTGCGGTCATCTGAAACAGTCGAAGACGTCATGTCAGTGATTCAAGCAAACTCCATCCGCGTACTTCCGTTTGAGCATTTTGGTCTTCAAAACATCCGCAAGGTAAGCCCGGATGCCGCTCGGGCCTGTCAGTTCCAGACATACTTGAATGTCTGGCCAACCGTTGAATCCGAGGCTCCAGAGCCTTTCACTCTATACCAGGATGGCTATTCCGGTCATGCTGCGTTTGGCGGCTTTGCCCTCGCCATGAGTTGCATGCTGGAACCGCGGAATGATGGGTTTACCGTGTTAGCCAACTACGACCCGCAAACCATCACGCACGACCAGCTCACCACGTTCTTCTCGGAGTTCGAGCAGGTGGTTCGTCAGGTCTGGTCAGATCCATCCCTTACCATTGGTCAGATCCAAGTAGGAAATTCACAAACGGGCCTCAAAGAACCGCTGGTCGTGGGTTCAGGGCTGCCTCGTGATTGCATCTCCGTTGGTGACGCGTCTGCAGAGGTTGAAAACTCTGGCGACATCCGCCAGGCTTCGGTGAATGAAACTGCAAATATTGTTTGTGAAGCGGTTGCCAACGTTCTAAATGTAAACATCGACAGCCTGAAGATGCGCGATAATTTCTTCCGAATCGGCGGTGATTCCATCGCAGCTATGCAGGTCTCCGCGAAGTGTCGTTCGCAAGGTCTTCTTCTCACTGTGGCCGATATTTTCCAGAAGAAATTTATCGCAAAGATTGCAGAAAAAGCTATACTGGCCCAAGGCAAGGATGGTATTTTGCACAACGAAGGAAAGATTGATACATCTGCCGCCTGGGACGCGTTAGTCAGTGGCAAACTACCAGCTCTGGGCGTTGTCAATGCAGAGGAGATCGAAGAGATCGTTCCCTGTACGCCACTACAACAGGTAATGTGGCTGACTGGTTCGAGGGAGAACGGCTACTACCAACCACACACGGTGTGGGAGCTGATCGCAGAGGATACATCGAGGTCTGTGGACACAGCCAGGCTTCGAGAGGCGTGGATGTCATTCGTCATGCGTCATTCAACATACCGATCGCTTCTGATGACTGTTCAACAGTGTGCGTATCAAGTCATGCTAAAGAAGCCATTCAGCGACAATATCTCAACCGTCCGATGCACTGCTGCAGACCTTCAAACTGCAATTGCTAAACAGAAAGATACCCCCTTGTCTAGTCTGCATGTGCCATATCGACTGACCATCTTCGAGACCGATGCGGATAGGGTATTCTTGATGATGGAGCAGCATCACGCACTAGACGATGCTGTTTCTTCTTCCATCTTCGTGGACGAGTGGTCACAGATTTATGGAGGAAATACGCCTGATAGCACACCGGTTCCGTTTAGCAAATATATTGCCAGCCTCCATTCTTCCTCTAGAGTATCGGACAAGACGTTCTGGACAGAGTACCTAAAGGACATATCCCCATGCCTTCTGTACTCGCACGATAGTCCCATCCATCGCGGCAACCTTCACTCCACCAGCATCCAGCTCGACCACATGCAAAAGATCACTCAATTCTGCACCGCACATGACATCACCATAGCAATCTTCTTTAAATCTCTCTGGGCCGCACTCCTGCAGCGCCTAACCAATCTAACAGATATATCCTTCGGCTATCTCGTGTCCACACGAAGCGCACCAGGCATCGAAGCCACCGGGTCTACTGGATTCTACCTAAATATGCTCATCCAGCGACTGAACATCGACGAGACTACAAAAATGACAAAGGTCCTCGACATCATCCAGGAAGACTACGGCCAGGCTCTCACTCACCAATCCCAAGGGCTAGAAACACTAAACGCACGAATACCAAGCCGAGTTTTCAGCACTCTCGTCAACCACCGCAGACATGCTATTGATACTAAGGAAACTAGGTCGCTGCGGTTCGAACCCGTGGAGTGGTCTGATGGGATGGACGTAAGTATTTACCATGTGACAATGTGTATTATGTTGAAGTTGACTTATTGCTATAGTTCGATATTGTGTTTGAGATTGACGAATCTGAGGACAATTTACAATCCACCTTGACGTATTGGGATGGCAGAGTACAGGAGGAAATGGTTTCGAAGGCTAGTAAGATGTTTACTGGACTTCTTTCTGCGGTGATGGAGGATCCCGAGCAGGTACTTGGGGATCTATTGTAAAGAAATAAAACGAGGAAGTTATGCAAAATCTTTATGTTTCTACTTATCTATTTCAGTAGTTATACACTCCCTGTGGCACCTAAATTATAGCTACTTACTACGTTATAACTTTCTTTGCATACGTTCCGAAAACCGTCACCACTACCCAAAAGCCCTAACAAGTGAATGCAACAATCGATAAAAGAATATTAAATAATATTTGCAGCCTATATCAAGTATCAATAGATGATATTGGCTTTCTTGCTAGCAGCAATTCGTAACGTTCTTAAGCTGTAGTCAACATAGGCCAAACTTGTACCTCGGGTCTGGCCAACCTATGTTTTTAAATCGCTTTGACATATATATTTGCCATTTACAGGGCCGGGGTATGGGCAACAACATGGCCCATCATCCTGTGCGACAGGCTAACGCTCACTCACCAACTAGAAAGAAGGGAGTGGAGATGAAGAAGAACTTACACTGCAGGGTACCGAGTGCCAGGAACATCTGTTCGCTTGATCAACTCCCGAATAGTGCTCACATCCTCGTCCGATACTTGAATCTGCGCCGACGCAGAATTCTCATCCATACGAGCAATGGCCCTTGTCCCTGGGATGGAATAATATCGGGCCCCTGTGCGAGCAACCACACAATCGCGATCTGGATAGAAGTACTATTATACACATTGGCCACATCATTCAGTCCCTGCACCAGCTCCAAGATCGTGGGAAAGTTTTCCTCCGAGCACTTGGGAAGGAAGCGGCGGAAATCATTATCGGGCAAATCGGCCATGGACTTAATCTGGCCGCCTCCCCAAGGGTCCGGTCGGGACTAGGAGTAGCGCCGGTTACAGTAGGTACTAGTAGTAGATTAAATATATATAAATGTAAGTGCTTGATGCATCGAGTAGTAGAAGAATAAAAGTAATTTCAAGTAGTTAGGTTGCCAATATCTACCAAGAATTTGCCCCTTATATTTCAACGTTCTAGTCGATATAACACCCTTCATGACGTTAGAAATCACCAGGCAAGACCATAAGCTTTTGATTCTTGGAACCAGGCGCCACAATTCTCATCCGCGTCTTTTGCTTCGATCAAAGTAATGCCTTGAGGATTCTCATCATTCCCAAAATCGGCCAATTTCGAGTCTTCATTGAGCGAGGGCCAACCAGGACCATTTTCTGGGTCCTTGGCGAAATCAGTCCACGTCTTCTGCATGAAGGCACTCAGCGCAATCTGGTCCTTGGTAGCAGTTGTAGCGTTGTAGGTTCCAAAAACCTGGGGCAGTTCCGCGCCATGGTATGCGCCTGCATCGTCGTAGGGTGTCAGGTTGTCGAACTCTGGCGAGTACCTGTACCGCCACACCTTGCGGTGGTGCTTTGCGGTAAACCTGGCTAGTTCTGACGTCGGGCAAGTAAATGGAACTCCGGTCATCCACCTGGTATTTCTCATCAGCTTAGTTATCCTGCTGAATTGCAATGGGACATATTATACGCACTTGCTCCAGTTTAAGAAACACCATCTCGTGGACAATTTTGAACATAGCGGAAGCATGTTGGTTTCGGCATCCGAAGACTGAACGTCATCTACCAACACCTGCTGAGGGGGTAGAGCCCTTTTTTCAGCTTCCTTCGCCGTATTGAGTCTTCGAACATGGGCAAAAATGCTGCCCTCGTTTTTATTCGTGCCGTACATGACAGGAACATCGGCAAATCTTCCTTTTCTGAGGGTGGGACGGACGTCATTGAGTGAATTGCCAGACCCGCTGGTTGGAGCAAAAAATAGGGGTGTGCCCAGATACGTGCCGTTATTGGCCAACTCCATGATATCTGCTGCTGATTTGCCTCTCATGCACTCGAGTGTATGACACCCGAGCCGTTCTCGGACTACCATATAATCATTTCTCAGCGCTTTCCCGAGAAACATTGCCTGCTGCGACTGCATAATCGCAGCTCGGAAGGGAGGTTGCCCAGGAGGGCCCGGGGGGTTTGCCAGCAGTTGCTTGATCGAATAGCCACCGGCAGACTCCCCGAAAATGGTGATCTTGTTGCGATCACCGCCAAACTGCTCGATGTTATCATACGTCCAGTTGAGGGCAAGTCGCTGGTCAACAAATCCGGGATTTCGATCCTCCTTGTCAAGTGAAGAAGCCTCAATGAAACCAAAGACTGTTGTCATAAGTATTATGTTTTCTGGAATAATAGCGAGGTATGTTACATACTGTTGGTCCGATAGTTGATGGTCACCAGGATGATATCATGATTGACAGCCAGAGAGGTGCCATTGTAGTTGGCAGCAGAGGCCGAGCCAGTTTGAAGGTTTCCCTTGTGTGCATCAATAGACTGCTCTCAACAGTGAATAGCCTCCAGGCCGAGGCCAACGTACACCATGAATGTAGAACATAACCGCCTTTTTGTTCTGAGAAGACGCATCCGCAGGCGCGTATACATTCAGATATAAACAATCCTCGTTTTCCTCTAGCGGAGGACTGTTAATAAGACCTTCGAGGAAGTCGCGGCCTGGTTTTGGGCCACTAAATTGCTGATGGCAGGCATTCGGCAGCTTCTGTGCTAGAAGTGGTTCTTTCCATGACCCTGGCTCCTCCGGGGGTCTCCAACGCAGTTCGTCTACAGGAGGCTTTGCATAAGGGATTCCCAACCAGACATTGGCATATGGATCCCCAGAGGGTACATTGGGAGGAGAGATGGTTCCAACAACCGGACCTGACGAGACGGTGACGGTCGGGGTGGTGGTGGCAGCAGCAGTGCCAACTAGGCCAAGGAGTCCAATTAGAGTCAACATTCTGGATTCTGCACGGATCTCATGTTATGGATGGACATTCCTGTTAAACACCTGCCTTTTTATAGCCTGTTTTGGCGGGTGTACATCACAACAAGGAAAACGGGGCTGAATTCTTGGCATGAACAGATTCAACGGTTGAGTTCGTCATGGATATATCTTCAAGATGTCATTCAATGTCACGTTGCATCGTCACACTGCAGTCTCCACATCTGGTCCACTTTAAATGAGTGGCAATTAGCTAGTCTGACATTCTCGAATTTACTGGACAAGTAGACATTCACTCAATAGTTCCCTACATATAGGCCCAACTCGAACGAGATATTATTGTCTAGCTATTAATACCCTTGAACTATCCAAGTTCTATTTGGATCTAATATCTTCTTCACACCATCATACTCCATCGACTGTGGGGAATGGACGCGGCGGAGAGCATGGTTCTCCCCTTTGCATATTCAGCTCCTGCACGAAAACGGCACTATTAGTACAGGCCGGTTGAGCTCCAGCCAGCCACACACTTGTTGTACATGGCTTAGACTTTAAATGGTTCAGAATAGTCTCCACAAGAATTAGCTCTGTGTGGTTATGTAATGAGATCGTCTGGAGTAATGAGAACTTCCGTAAACCGAGCCTGTCATTACAATTGGTCACTATCCTGGATTAAGGCATGAGATCGAATCCTGAATGGCTGACCGCTATTTACTATACTAAATAATCATAATATCATGATGAACAAAGTGTAATTCATCATCGTAGTCTCTATGCATCTGATCTATATTTATCTGGTGCTGTATAAATGAACAATACGATTCAAAAGATGCTTTGTTAGAGATGCAGTAACATCTGATGGCGGGCTGCAGTGCATCCCATGGTCTAGCTCCACCTAACCTATTATGCTTGACTATATTCAAACATATAATCAACCATTTAGTCGACTATGTGTTCAATAACCTCTTGAATTGATCAATTTTTGCCCGAGAAATCTGCGAGTTTTAAACTTTTATATTTCAATAAGCAATGAAGAATAGACCTCAAAATTGCATTCAGGAATCTCTATATATACCCCCAAAAAACCTCTTATTTTCGATACCAGTGCTGTGAACTCTGGAAAATAGATTCTTGCAAATCTAGCCAGCTACTATCAGCCAATTAACGAGCCCTTGAAAATGATGTCTAACATGAAATATCGATCCCCTCGATATATATCGCACCATTGACGCCCGTCCATTTCCATCGACTCTATTTCAACCCCTTCTCGAAAGCCTCGACATAAGTATGGCAGTCGTTCACTTTGCCCTTCCCACTTGTTACCATTATCGGTGCTAACCTTGGCAGCTGTCGTGAATGGTTAACTCCCAATTCTTCAAAACAAAGCACAGCCAGCTTACCAGCCTCCTTGGCATCCTTAACCTTGTGCTCCCAGTCTCCGTAATCTTCTCGACGTGCGAGAAACCCAACGTCTTGTCGATATCTGACTTCGACCACGTCTTGTCCGTCTCAGGCTCGATCCTGTAGTACTGCTTCTTCCCGTGCCCTTCTCGTGGGAGATCAAGTGGTACGATTCCCCAGTAGTCATTCACCGAGTCTTATTATTATCATTATTATTATCATTAATTCACTCGCATCTGTCAGCCCTTTCAGCCGATTGGCGGCAGGTTCCTGCGGGGCAGCCGGGGTAGCCGCCGTATCGTATATATGTCTATATCGATACACACGTGCGCCTATCTCCGCTATTCAAGATGTAATTTAGGAGGCTTGCTTAGTGCCTTAAGATAAGTGGGCCGAACCATTGATCGCAGTTGGCCCAGTTAAACACCGATTTGTGTGCACCATTCTTGGCGGGGCGTTCTATTGAGCGAAACCAATATCATTCAATGACCGGAAAATCCCGACGGTTATTAAAGTCGAATCTTTTTGAAGTTCAAAACGGACCGCACCATCTTTCATCCCTGCAATGGAGGTTTTTGCCAGTTTGGCCACCTATCTCCAGATCCCCTTCAGCATTTGATCACTTTTACCTTTACGGTTAGGTGATGTAGTGAGAGCCGCGTTGAATTGATTTGTTGCATTACATTAAGGCGAATTTTGAGCTTCTCCTTACAGTCCTGTGATTTTCGAATTCCCCGCCACCTTGCAATAGGGAGAGGCGTGATATATTATGGCCAATGATCATTCATCGTAGTGGCAATGTGATGCTAGGAATTAGAAGCAAACCGAGTTATGCGCTTCTAATTTATTTTTTAACGATTTTATCACCTATTCCCTGTCAAGGAAAACAGAAAAGTGGCCCGATTCCGTCACCCATAGTTTAAGGCTTTCAGATTAGGGAATCAAAATGATTCCAGGGTATGTTTTCCTTCCTCTGACTGTGGCGGCGGGATGTGACGAAATTTTTAGAATATGTCCACCCCCCTATGGATAGACACACTTTAAGATTCCGGTTCTTTTTTAACAGAAATAGTTGTTTTATATATCTGTTGATATTATTATCTGCTTGAGTCTAGAGGATCCCCGGGATAATACTTTTCTAAATCTATATACATATTAAAACGATATATCTCCTTAATCTTATTCTGCACATTTACAAATATATAGAGCATATAAGTAAGCCTCTTAACAGAAAGATCTTAAGGATCAAAATTGCGGCAATACATCCAATAGATGGAAAATAGTTGGCCGTTTCCTGCTATGCGTCCTTTGCATTATCTTAAAGATGTCTTATCCAATTTAGGAAGTAGGCAATGGATGTACTTCTAGTCTTACAATCGGATTTGCGGAAGCAAAAATGATGTATGTTCTGATATGTTTACTCCTCTGATCTATAACAACCGAGGCACGGGCTCACGGGAACTAACTCGTCCAGCCGTCCGTCGGTCTATAGATCCTGGGTGCGGAAGACAATACTCCAAGCGCAATTCTGTTTCTCTGGAAAGTGGTCTAGCGGCATAATGCGGCAGCACGGTGGAATCGTAGAGCGTCCACAGATCCCTGTGGAAGCCATGGGACATTTATTATAGTAGAGGGCCTGAGGGAAGTTGGCACTTGGTTTAAGACCGTTTTCGACAGCTCCGGGGGAAGTAATATTATATTCAGTATAATATAATTAACCTCCAAAATCCGCTTTTAATAGCAATATTTCTCTTGTGAAGATTAATGGCCCGTCTTTTCTGTCATTTAGTAGAGTTAACTTTTAAACATAGTCTCCAATGGGATAATATCCTCTCTGTCATCCTGCCAGTAACTCAAAACCATAACATATATAAGGTAATTAGGCTCCATGGTCTTATCCATCTCCATCGCGGCCCTTGCTATGCGCCCCTAGATTAGGTACATGCGAAGTTGAACAGAAAGGAAAAGCGCAGTAATACATATCTTCATTGATATTTTTTCCATCCTAGCACGTCCAAGTATAGGATGGTCCCGTTTATTTTATTCACAAGCTAATATTCTTTCACCCTAAAGGTTGTCACCAGTATTCCATATCGTCACCATAATGATTATAAATAGAGATAATTAAAATAGTTAAATTAATACTAGATTAATTACAGTTAATCTAGTTTATTATCTACTATATTTAATACAGATTAACGGTCTTAATATCAAATATGGTCAATTTAGATTAACTATCTAATTTTTGATTTAACTGTAATTAGAAATAGAAACTCTATTAATCTAGTTATAATCTAGCGGTTAGATATGACTGACCCCATTAACCTAACCTAACCTGGCCAAATACCAGTCAAATCAGGAGTAGTTGTCACCTGAGGCAACCACTGTTACAATCTCCCTCCGCAGTCTACCTTAGATTGAGTACCCATACTCCTCGACCTCTTCAGCTCTTGACCCTATGAGCAGTCGAATTGGTGCGCAGATAATAGTGTGCCATACTGTGGCTCAGCAGATATGCATGACGTGTGAAGGTTATCACCGTTCTATCCCCCCTCACGACAGTTGCTTAGATGTTTTGTAAGATGGCCCTTGTGAAGAACATTTTCACCAGCGAGTCAGAGGCTTGTAACGGGTAATCGGCCTAATTCTGATAAGGTGGCTTTGGTGGACTTGAAACAGTATATACTAAAGTGATACGAAACTCGCAGATTGAGACACCTGAGAGGGCATTGCCCCATATGTCATTGGATGAACCCTCAACCAGTAAACTCACTCATATCATGGTGTACACATGTTGGTGTGGGAAACCAGTCTACAAAGTAGTGGCAGTATGTGAAATGAATGTTGTGGTTGTGGCATCCGGCAAGTCTGTTTTAAGGCTTAATATCTGCTTTTAATTGTGCAATATTAGATTAATTACTAATTGAAAGAGAGCGACAAAGGTTATTGGGCATTCCCTGACAGGGAACGCTAAGTTGAGCCGTTCGAAATATTCTTCAGTGCGGTAATGGAAGGGGAGAAGAAGTATTCCCCCCCTCTAGGAATCACACAGCAATGCAAATCCACATGGACGTTGTTATTATTGCCATCACACAATCCCATCACAAACGGGTCTGGCCCATTAGGCTGACCACAGATTGGATCGGCACCCGGTCCTGGATCACCGGTGATCCTCTTTTTGCCCGAGGGGAAGGTATTCTTGTTGCACCACTCTGGATGTAGCTGTCAGAGGACGTGCTCCATTATAACGTTTAGGAGTTGGATCAATGTGGATAGCTTACGCTCTTGGATTCTCCGGAATCCATTTGAAATATTGCTTTGATAGCAAACAAACAGCATTCCACGATCTTCCTTCGTTGTTTGCTGCTCTTGTTCTTCCTTTGTAACCTCCGGGCCATACGGGATGCCCCGCCGCATGATTGCACTGCTGAATTTGTCTGCCAGATCGCCACGCGGTCTAGCCTTGCGTATATGCGCGGCGAAAGGGCAATGCTCTTGGGTATTAGTTGGTTTATAGTCAAAATTGTTATCTTCCGCCAGAGCGGGATTGTCTTTCCAGAGCGTGTGGCACAAGGGAGCTCCTACTTTCCTTTAGAACTTGTCGCGGAATGTGG